TCACAAGTGACATTAATTAAGGCTGTAGGCTCCCCTTGCCAAATTTAACAAAAAAAGAACATGTAGGCATTGAGTTCTCTTGCCTGATGGGGCACATTTTCTCATTCAGAGCCAAGCTTCAGGCCACTGTGAAAATCCTAGCAAAAGAAAAGCAATTTTGTAGTGGAAATCTGGACACTTGGTATTTTTTCCATATAGGATTATGATTATTTATTGTCCTACTCAGTTTTATTCTTAACTTCTATTTTTACAATGATCAGATAATTTGTGTGGGACTATAGGGCAACATACACCATTTACTTTTGGCTTAACATTAGAAACCACATAGTCAAAACTCCTACTGTTTCTTGGGAGATTTTGTCAAGCGAGGACTCAGGAAAGAATGTGAGGATTGTCTTGAGGCACAAGGCTGAGCAGTTTTCATAGTGTGAGTTGTTTTCACTAACAGAGCTGGCTGAGAATGAGCTCACAAAGAGTTATCTTGTCAGAAGCTGCATATGCCAGTTTCAAAAGGAAAGGAAGTTCCAAGATGGCATTTTTGTCAGAAAATGGAGGAAAAAAAAACACCTGGACCAAGGCAATAGTTGGCTAAATAGGAGCCCTGAATTTCAGTACTGGAGACGTGTTTCTGCTCCCCAGTGGGCAGAGAAGAAGTTCTGGTATGGAAGCAGCATGCCTTCAGTCCAAGCCTTAGGTGCCTCTTTGCAAAGCCACTTGCAATGGCCTTTTTGGTGCCCTTGAGGCAGCACCTCTCCAGCATTTTCCCCTTGGCATAGCCTTGAGGTTTGTGACTGGGACCTGAGGGGCTGAATGTCTCACATCATTTTGTTTCTAGAAGTATACTGACACTGTAGAAAACAGAATTATGACATACTTCAGCCTTAATGAAAGTTCACACACTTCAGTAAATGTACAAATATTTTGACTGTAATTGATATAATTTCTTTTGGAATTGATAGGCAGTTTCAGTATGCAGAACAACAGAGCCCCTTCTCAACTGATTTTTGCTGCCATTAATTAACTCCCCTTTTTCTCTTTCCATTGCAAATATTAGACTAAATAATTCTAAAATGACCAATAGATATTTCTGACAAATAATTTTAAATCAGCCAGAAAAATCTATGCAATGTAGCATGGTTGGAGCAACATGGTAGTTTAGCTGTGAGGCTTCTGCATCGGTATTTAAGTATTTTGGGCAGGAGCAGTACAATAGCCGGCCAAAGAGAGCTGGTGTCAGCAGAACATGTATTGCTATAGCTGTATGTGTGGTATGTTAGCTAGACAGCAGGCCCAAGAGGCCTTTCTGAATATTTGTCTGACACTGATAGATAACGAATGCTGGGAATGTAAGGGACTGGCTCATCTCTGAAATAACACAACAGCCTCAAGCTAAAAAGTATTTCACCATTCCCAAATGAATTTCTACATTTCGTCACGCTATCTCCTAAGCTTGGTAGCCCTCTGTCTGACCAAACAGTAATACCAAGCAATCTGCAGGAACAGCCTGTATCCGAAAATACCCAGCTCCCTTCCGCGTGCACACACCCAGTGACACTGGGTGCAAACCTCGGGAATCGAAAGTGAGACCCAGCAGCCTCCTCCCCCCAGCACAGGGCAGCCCTGAGCAGTTTCACTTCCCGCTTCCAATGGCCTGTGGAGCTGTCAGGAGTAGCTGCTCGGCCGGGCCTCACCTCGCCCTGCGCGGAGACACTGACAGAGGACCCGTTCAGTGCGGCTGCTGGCATGTGCAAACACATAGCTGGCCATAAAATGCTGTTCTTTACTTAGGCTCCCTTTCAGCCACACAGAACTGTCCTTATCCTGGCCACACGCTGAACACAGATGCTGACATCCAAGCACAGAAGTGCGATGTTACTTAACTTTCAAAAATTCAGCGTAGGGCTCTCTCTGTAAATCCTAATCCCTATTTTGAAACAACTCATCCTTTCTTTGTTCCTTTTCTTGTCCCACCTAAGCTAATTCTGCTTAAATATTTGTTTTATTGGTTTACATTGCACAACATGGATGATACCTGGAAGGACTACTACGTGAAATAAAACCAATAAAAATATTTTTGAAGCACAAGAAAGAGCCTTCTTTATCTGCTAGGCTCTAGCAATCTAATTAGTGCAATTCACTGCATCTGCACTCAGACACTTCAAAGCAATTTGTGAAGAAGTAGATTCCTCTCTCTTTACAATATAATGACACATGAAATTGAATTTAATGGAAATTACTGTGCAAAAAGAAAAGATGATACTCCATGAAGTGTACTCAGCAGTACTGTCACAGCCAAGTCATGCTAGTTTAGCTTTGTGATTGGGTGTGTGCTCCATTCCTAGCTGGAGATAGTGACAAACACAAGGATAAAGAACAATGGAGTGCTTCATTTTTAAGTACTTGCATTTTAATACAGACAAACATATAGTAACTGGACAGTCAAAATCCTGCAGCAGTCAAAGAATACTCAGAAAAGACCCAATTATATCGTATTGTCTTTGTAAGTGTGCAAAGTCCAGTTGAAACAAAGGAATCTGAAAGCCTGGCAGCTCTGGGAGAAGCTGCATGCTCCTGGTTGTATGCAAGGCTGTTCAGGAACTAACAAGCTGCAGCTTCAAACCAGTGAAAAGATAATTGGGAGGCAGGAGTTCTTCAGAAATTCAGCAGAAATTGCCACGTTCCCATTCTCATGGAGGAAAGAAAGAATCTTCTCAAAATTCGACAGGAAGTTAAGGCCAGTAGTCATAATTTTAATGCTATAGATTAAGGAAGCAAAAATAAATGCATTTTTCCTCTTTCTGCTAGCAGAATATGTAATCTATAAAATGACTGTCCTGTTTTCTGAGACCCGTAATTCCACCATAACTAATAAATGCTAACCAGTGAGCATCCATCCAGTAGGAAGAGGAAAGCCAAGTCACCTCCAGCTCCTGAAGGTCCCAGTTCAATCCCATTTCCCATGACAAAGCACAGAAGGACCTCTGGCTGTAAGGAAATCTGCCCTAGATTTCTAGAAATGACTAATGAAGATCTGGATGCAAAATTCCTTGCAGAGGGCCTTGATTTCCATAGGGCAATCTGTCCTTTCTGAAAGTAAACTTTTGCATGGCCCAAGCTGAATTTCAAACACCAGTGGCTGGTTCTAAATTGTAATGTAAACACATGGAACAACCACATGCACAGATGACTGCATATACAGGCATGTGTTTGCAGACTCATCCTTAGAGGGAATTTATAACTTGCTCATATGGATAAAAGTCATTTGGCCACATGGGATACTCATAAGAAGAAAATAGGTATTAAAATTTTGTGAACTACACAAATACTGTCCTCTAATTCTGAACAGCTACAGTATAGGCTAAAATAATTATTTGAGGATTAGAAGGATTAGCTGTTGAGATTTGGAGTAAACAGATTCTAAAAGCAATGCAACCACTTAGACCACTCTACTTCAATACACACTCATGTTGTGACTGCAAAATGTACACAGGGCAGAAGAGATGGAAAATACATGCAGAGGCAGTGGAATTGATGTCTGGATGCTGAATTTCTTCTCTCTCAGGAAGCTGGTAACATGTGTAACGGGATAGTCACCGTTATGTTTGATACATGCTTTCTTAGGTTGATATGGCAACCCTGGAAGACAATATGTCAGTGAATCTATGCTAGATATATATTCAGCCACAAGTACCTCAGCTAAACCTCAGTATCTATGGGACTTCAGGCTGGGCAGTAAGCAGGAGATGGCCCTGTCCAGTTGGGAAGAATAACAGTTGGCTCACATTACATGTGCAACAAGGAGGGACTGCCTTAGAGGTGACCATGTGTTTCATCTGGCCTTTACGTCTGATCACATACTTGTGCTTTTTTGAAAAACAAATGCTAAATCCTGGGAATGAAAGTGCCTGCACACAGAAAGGGTCTCTTTCTTTGATATTACAAGATATTTGTTATAGAGAACAAATGCAGACAATTTAGTGTATTTTTTTGTTGTTAGCTTTAGTCTTTCTGAAATTTGTAGAGTCTCATTGTTTCTGGCACAGGCCTGTGCTGCAGTACTGCATAGATGAAAAATCTATCCAAGTCCAAGTCAGCTTACAGGACAAGATTTCCACTACAAAGAGCATGTACAACAAAGTACAGATTGCAGCTGCTCACATGCAAACTTTTGAGCTCTGACAGGCATCCATTTTGAATAAAACACTTGCAAGCTGGCAGAAAGTAATTTAGTTTCTTTTCAGTGCTTCATAGTAATTATGGAGAAGTTTCTTGGCTTTGGATTTGCTTTTAAAAGCCAGTTGGTCTCTGCTCTTTGCTACTGTCCAGTTAGATTATCTTTTATTGCATAAGGGTACATAATAATTTTTTTAAAATATGGTAATTCTTCTATTAACACAGGAGGAGGGAAAAAAAGCAACAGAAACCCTGGATGTATTAAGCATCTCTTTCATCGATCCACCCTCTTGTCTTGGACCATGACCAATGAAATAATAAAATACATCAATCTTTTTCAAAAAACAATGTAATTCTTGCAACGTCTAGATGGCTTCTGGGATTTGAGGCTATTTATTACAGTTTCTGAAATGTTAAAATAATGTTTATGTAAATGAAAATATTTATCTAGGTTACTGCTGTCAAGTACTCACTGAGAAAAATTTTGCATTAATAGGGAACCTTGAGCAACAACAGACACAGAAACAACTAGCAGCCAGCAGTTGGGACAGGCATAAATCTAAAAAAACAATAGTCCAGATTCTTCTGTAAAGGACCACATGGTGCTCCCAGTTACACAGTATTAATTCCTTGCATTATAACTTTCAACCACAGAAATTAAACTGTAAAAGTTTTCTGGATGAGTAGCAGTGCTATTTCATGCCATCCATAATGAGTTTTAGAGAAAGTTGCTATCTGTCCTTTAAGACAGAGGTAAGGAACTTCTTTAAGCATTTCAGTGTAACAGAATTATCCAACACCACAAAAAATAATAGGTATCAGCTTACCTTCCATGGACTACTATGACATTATAGGCCTGCAGGTCATGTGAAATAAACTTGCTACTGTTTTCAAACCAAGGGATGAAGTTCAATTAGCCTTATGAAAGAATCTACCTAGATGGAAAGAATAAAGACAGTGTTGTTCAGAATTAAAGCAGTCCTTATTCAATCCAATTTATTCCTCTTCCAAGTGACCTATCAAGTGATGACAAAGCAGAATTTATTTCTATTTTGCAAAGCTTGAAGAGGACAGCATTTGCGCTTCTGTTATAGGTAGACAGGGTTTTAACACCAGTGTCCAGTTCTGGCACATACTCAGGCTGAAACAACTGAAAGCTGTGAAGAGAAAAAATGGACGCTTATTTGTTTATCAGATTGAGCTAATACAATTGGCATAAATCTTCTTGGAAAATGGTGATGTTCTAATTTATTCTTGAGGAACAGTGATAATTCAAAATGGTGGTGAAGGAGCTTCAGTAGCTCACACACAAGCAAAAGGAGAAAAGAAAGCATAGAAGCAACACAGTCCTGCTCCCTCCTTCCAGCATGGAACTGCTCTCTGTGCAGCACAGGGCAAGGTCTTCTCCTTGTTTCCTCAAGGCAGGCTCCCACCTCTGTCAGACAGCTGCCAACCCAAAGGCTCCAGGTCCCCATTTGTATGTGTGGCTGCAGCAGTGGCCAGTACAGTCTTTGCCCTGACTACTCCATCCTCCTCATCAACTTCTGCTGACACCATAATTTGTGTGGTTACCTAGATGGGCCAGGTGGACTAAAGAATTCCATATCCAAAAAGAAATAAGCATGTTGTCAACACCTTCAGTGCCTGCCCATGGTGCCTGGACTACTCTGCCCAAACAGACACAGAATTGCTGGGCCCAGAGCTGCAACAAGCCTGTCAGGACATGTATCATTCCAAGGTGTTAGACCGTGGATGGTATCACTGCATCTAGTCAGATGATTAGTGTAGGGAAAATAATGCTAAAGATCAGAAAATAGAATTTCCCTTTGCAGCCAGCTGCAAAATGCACTTTTTTTTTTCTCCCCAAAAGGTAACATTTTACATAATACATAATACATATGTGTATGCAACTGTATTTCCACATATATCATAGAATCACCAGGGATGGAAAAGATCTCTAAGATCATCCAGTCCAACCCAGCCACGTATCACCAATATTTTCCCACTAAACAACATCCCTCAGTACAACACCTAAATGTTTCTTGAACACCTTCAGGTACAGCAACTCCACCATTTCCCTGGGCAGCCCATCTCAGTGCCTGATCATTCTGTGGGAGAAGTATTTCCTAATGTCCAACCTGTTGCAAGTAGAGGCCATTCCCTCCAGTACTACTGCTAGTTATATGGGTAGAAGAGGTCAACCCCCACCTCACAACAAGCACCCTATGCAAGTACATCTGCCAATTTGTGCCTATGAATCCACTCATATGTGTCTGTGTATGCATACACAGAACATGTGAATTAACAGTCTTTCAGATATAGGCTAACATAGTGACCAAATTTACATTGGTGCCAGAATTTCATATGAGCATTGTTAAGAGAGTTTTTGCATTTCCATTTCTACTTATGGTCAGGTTCTTCAGCACCATAAACCATTTTCTCCCTTACAACAAGGGGAGAATATACACAGTAAGAATTGCATAACGGGTGATGTAGCATAATGAGAAAGATGCCTAGAAGAAAATGAAAGTGTAAAGCTATTAAACATTCACTGCAGGAGATGTAAACTTGATTAAATTGTAGTTATGTTCAACTCTTTATATAAACTCCACTTTTTCTGAGAAAATGACAAATTTTGAAATAAAGCATTGAAACATGAAAGATATTCAGATGAGAATACAGGAAATTCAGCTACTTCAACATCTCATTGAGGAATAGACGGACATACGTCACTTGGTCCGTCCTGCTCCCCCACAAAGCTCTGGGCATAGCCTGAGAAAACTGATCTACCACCCAACCTCTTTAGCCATAGCAGTATCATCACAATGATCAAATCATCAAAACCTTTCTAAAGTTCGGAACACCACAAGGAGTGTGGTGTGGAGCAGGAAGACCTTCAGGTCTGCAACAAAGGCTGAGGAGTTGGTCTGGCCACACCACTCTCAGCTCAGAATTCCATATCTGTCCTTCCATCCTCTCAGGAAGCCATACCTTGACCCAGAACTTGAGGCACGTCTGACTGTCTTCTGATTAACATACCCAGTGCATATTTCATGCGTTTGCATGAAAGCTATGCAGCAAGCAGGGCAAACTTAAAAGATACAACAAAGTGAGTACACAATCTCAATGGGTCCATTGGGGAGATTTTTGAGAGCCACCTTGCTGATGAATGGCTGAAACATGTGATCATACTTCAGCCACTCTTCACGTTTTTCTTGTCACTGTTCTGTTTTTTTTTTATCTCCTGCATTTATTTCACTTCAGTATTTCCCATCTTTCATGTTCCACTTGTGCAAACAAACAAGACATAATATTAACACTAAGTCATTTAGCAAAACTGTGGCCCTGGCAAAAAGGGCCATTTTCAAAGGGTGCTGGCAGAAAAATAAACATGGAAGAAAACAAAGGAGGAGCACTACCTTTTTTCTCTGAACTGCTGAACTTGTCTTTGATCTCACTGGAGATCGTTTTTATCCCTAAGAGGCAATTAAACCTCAAATGCAGAATGAAGGGAATGACATCACAAGGTTTAACTAGAAACTGTGCATTTCACAAGAAAAAAGAATCGTACAGTTCAAAGTAGGAAAAGTCTGACGTTCTTCTCACACCATGGTACCAAGGAGAGAATAATTTGTAAGGGAAGCAGTGCAACGGAATGAGCAGGCCATCTCCAGCCCATAACTGCTATTTGCTCTGTCCTTCTCCAACATGAGATCAAATGATTTGGTAACTGCCAAGAAAATTCTGGCTTGTGCATCACCAAGCAGGAAATTTCAGTAATGAAAACATAATCCTGCAATAAAAAATAATTACAAAAAAATCAGAAAAAAAATCAGAAAAAATGCCGCTCTAAGGAAGGAATATGGAATATATGGTATTGCAATACTTTCCTAGCACCTGTTAAACACAGCAGCAAAACCATGTAGTATATGATTTTTTCCCCTTAAGGGAGCAATATATTTTGGGTTGTTTTGTTTTTTTTTTTTTTTAAAAAAGGGACTTTTTAAAAAATCCTTTTTTTTTTTTTTTTTTTTTTTTTTTTCATATAACTTTCTGGAAAAACAATTCACTTTGGGGACTAAAATTCTTTAAATCTCGTTCCAGCCCAGAGACATTTCTGGAAACTTGAGCAAGATGCTGTCAAGTATTTCTGAATTATACATAGATGTCTGTCAAAACATACACTTAAGTTTTTCTTATTTTCTTTTTTTTTCATTCACAACTTAAAACTAATTTTTTAACAGAGTTCTCTGCTATGCCTATAGACTTTTTATGGAGAAACATATCAGCTCTTTGTAAGTAATTTGAAAACAGTTTTTCATGTATAGCAGAGAAGCTTTTAGAAATATTCAAAGTTAACGATGGTCATGACTGCCATGTGCAGTTAGTAATTTTAGAAGATTTCTATGTCAGAAAATCCATTTTTCCAGAGGTTCATCATTGCTGAGAGGCCACAGTGAAATATTTTTGTTCATGTATAAAACAAAGGCAGGTAAAATAAGCAGAAAGACCAGCACGGCACACCTCATTTTTAAAGTAAAAAATGCAAGACTATCACAAAGTCACTTTTCAAAAACAATGTCATGTTCAAATATTGAGGTTTTCAGGCTGCGTCAATACTGAAAAAATATTTTGCTGGTAACCTAGTCACAAAATAACATACAATTCATTGAAAGCAGGCTCTTGTCAATGCTACTGAAATTAAAGTTTTTTTAAGGAGGTTGTAAGATCTGGAGATCCTTTCCTTGTTCCTGCTGAACTGGAAATGTCAGTGGCTATGAGCACAGGATGCACCTGGGCACAGAGACAGCCTTTTGTCAATAATTGCGTCTGTGAGGTCGTAGAAGGCGGCAGAGGTGGCCTGGACAGCCCTCAGAAGTGTCCCATAGGGCCCCCAGACACCACTATTCACAGCAAAACGTGTCCCTGCTCTTAGTACAAATGCCTTGTGATTTTCAGCAACCACAAGAAGCCAAGTCCTTAACTTTAAATTTGTATCTAAGCAGGGACAGGTTCACCAAGATCAAAATGAAATACCAGAGGGGAGAGAAAGGGCCATAGACATCTGAGAAAACTAGTCCTTACAGAAGAAAAGAGCTTGAATTCCCCACGGACAGTCTGGCTTTCTGTTTTGAATGCCATTCACTTAAATTGGTCGCCTGGTGTAGTCATATCTGCTATAATTGCAGCAGATTGCAATTGCAGAAACATCTTCTGCATATAAACCCTTTTATTATGGCATATAAACACAACATTTCCAGTAATTTAGGGGCAGCTAAAATCTCCTTTTCCAATTCTTTGGAAGCTGCCTCCCCTGTAGTAGTTCATGCGACATCAATGGAGCAGTACATGACAGTGAAGTACAGTAGTTAGGTTGATGTCACCATCTAAAAGCTCCTACTTCCATTTAAAAAACCCAGCTCGTTAAAATCCAAAAGAGAAATACATAGGAATGTGCTCAAAGTTCAATTAAAAAACACCCATAGTGTTTGTTTTCGTCTTTCTTGTTGAACTGCAGCGTCAATCTGACAAACAGATTATGTCTAGCCTGCTAAAGATTTGCAATATATTAATTTTTTCTTAGCATCCTTTGAAGCAATAGCTTGTTTCTTTTCCATGATATTCTTTCATAACAACTTTGAAGGCACTGTGATTTATGGGAAAATAGGCCCAGGGTGAGCAGCTTGAAGCCACCAAATCACAGTGATCTCACTGTCACTAACTTTTGCAATAATAAGTGTTTTTCAGGAAGAACCTTCTACTGGAATCATCTTTCATTATAAAGAGGCAAATTGCCAGCTTTCATGGTTTTGGAAGGACCCTGGAGAGTCTGAAGTGAGTGCAGAAACCTTGAGGTTTTTCCCTTAAAAAGGGAAAAATTATGTTGATTCTCATGAAAACTTAAAGCTTAATGACTTCTTAGGATATGC